AGGATACAATTCATATCTGCTTCGCCCTATTTAATTCCTACCCGTTACTAACATTTATTACATTGGTTATTCGTTACTTGGGTGATTTCTAACGATTAAGGTAATAACAATCAATCGCGCATAATCAGGGATATGTTGATTTCTTTCCTATTCGTGGCTATTAATGAACCTTCCATCTTCGTGGCTTTTGGTATCCTTAGTTATCCACTCCGTACATGTTTCCTATTTTCCAATTAATAGGCACGGTATCCTCGTAAACGATCCCATGGGTGTAACTTATGCATTTTCCGTTCTTCATTCTCCTTTATTGCTTTGATTCCTATGCCACCTGTCAGCATATCATTGATCCACGTGGAGAGTTTATTTTCCACCAATACACAATTACGGAAACCTGCTGGCCGGCGGGGTTCTCCAGCATCACCTTGGAAGATTGCATTATCTGATTTAACATTCATACTTATTTTCTACCTAATTAATAGTCTTAAACCATTCAATGTGATGTCTATGGTTATGCTAGGATTATTGAACACTGGGTTCTAGATGGCACAAGATTAAAGCACGTTTCAAGAATTCTCTTCAGATTCTAGTTAAATACAATGTTCCACTGGGAAGAAAAGCTGCAAGTCACATAATTTTTCCTTCTTTATTTTTAAGTCCTTTAGGAAAGTTACAGATGATTATCCTTTTAAAAAAGAGGAAAAACAAAAGATTAATGATGATAACTTCCTGCTTGCAGCAGGTATTTAGTGTTTAGACCTATAACCCAAGCCATAATGGTTTTTCATTAGTTTACTTGTGCATTTGCTATTGTTTCATTATTTTAATTGTACTTAAAATTTTCCTTATCTCAAATTTTCTTGCTCCATCTTTTTCTTTATTATATTTTTTTGTAAAATTATTTCATATGTTGGACAATCAAATCCGCACAGCCCAAATTTCAACTTGCATTGCATACAACAAGAACACTGCGCCTCTGTCCACATCAAGTTGGGGTCAGCTATATGAATACTCACTTCTCCATTTAAGCTCAAACTCATGTCATCATCATACCAAATACAATAGAAGTTCAACTTGTCTTGCATACTGTTAGAAATCTTAATAATTGCAAATTTGCAATATATAAGCCAGTTTTACATGTTTTTTGGACTGCTATTCCCCTAAATGTAGATTTAAGTCCATATTCTGTTTTCTGAATTTTCAGGTCAGGCTTATGTGACCCAAAACCATCTCCTATGAGCTATTTGAAGAATGAGCACATCTGTGGTAGGCCTTTGGGGTTAAGGTTTGACAAAAGAACAGGTGACTTATATATTGCAGATGCATATTTTGGGTTAGTGAAGGTAGGCCCTGAAGGTGGATTAGCAGAATCTTTGACAACTGAGGCTGAAGGAGTGCCTCTAGGATTCACAAATGACTTGGATGTTGATAACGAAGGGAATGTTTATTTTACAGATAGCAGCACGAAGTACCAACGCAGGTATATTATGAATGTGCCCTTTCTTTTAGTGCTAAAGATTTCTTAACTAGAATGCGTTTCGATCCTGATGTTCTTTTATAAACTGAATTTTGAGGCTGTAGCATTCAAAGTGGTGATCTTGTACGATAAGGACACAAAATATATGCAAATTACATCCTAGAATTGACTAACTTTTAGCATTGTCATTCTTACGCTGTGATAAATCAAATCAAATTAAAACTTCCGACAATTACCTGTGGTCCCAGCCACTTTTATCTCTCTCTCTACATGTCTACATGAATGAATTGAGTCTTAAAAGTTTTCCAGAAAATGTCAACGCAAAATATTAGATTGCTATGATCTGCATGGCACTGATTGTGTTGGCGCATAGCAGCATATCCACCAGAAAAGGTAGAGCCCAGCAATTCCACATCACTGACAATCTTCCTGCTCTTTCCCTGCTCCAAGCATGTCTGTTTCACCCATATACCATGATTATATTTTGATCCTGGTCAAATGCAGAATATGTGCTTCATTTGGTTAAAATTTTACAACTCTCACCTTTTCTTTTCCAGGAACTTTATGCAGCTGGTTTTCTCAGCAGAAGATAGTGGGAGGGTTCTCAAATACAATCCTAGGACAAAAGAAACCACTGTTCTTATCCACAACCTTCAATTTCCAAATGGTCTTTCACTTAGCAAGGATGGTTCCTTCTTTATATTTTGTGAAGGTTCCAAGGGCAGGTGAGGTTCTTGCCTTTTGCAATCAAGATGTTTACAGTGTTAATATTTGCACTTTACATATTATTTAACACATCGTGAGAAGATTGTCTGTTTGAGATCTATAGGGGAAAATTCCTTGGATTACCTTTTCTTGTCTGTGATTGTTGTTTTTCTATTGATATGATTAGTAAAAAATTTCACACACATGCAGAACATATTTATGTTATGTATAGAGCAATTATGCACCATGGAAATGCTTCCATATTCTCAAGCGATTTGACTTTTTTACTGCTTCGAAAAAACATGCCTTTTTTCTATATCTTTTCCCACCTATTTTGAGGAAATTCTTGGGGTGAAAGGCTGATGCTTCACCTCAAAAGTTGTTAGTTATATGCTTTTTTCGCACCTATTTGTGGGATATTCTTGAGATAAAGTGGTGATGGTTCACCTCAAAAGCTGTTACTTGTGTATGCATGAGAGGATTCTAAACAACTCTATCTAGCTGATCAACAAAAGGAGAAAGATAGAGTACCTTTTGTAGCTAGCCTAGCATGCTATAGACCTACAGGGAACAAGAGCCAGGTCGAAGATATTCCTTTCATTCTTTGATAACCTCTCTTCTTATGCATTTACTATATGCATCAGACATACATACAAAGATACTATGCATTGTATGGACAGTGATAGACATAGAAGTGTGGAATTTCAGCTTTTATAATCCATATTCTGACATATCTGACTTTATTTCTCTATTCCTTTTATTGAGGCATCTCCTTTATGTGGAATTCCCTTAAAATCATTGGCGTTGACATTCAATAGATAGTGATGGCATTATTTCTTGCTGATATTATCACCTGTAAGAAGAACTATGGGGGGACTAAGCCTGTGGCTAATTAGTATTTTATTTCTTTGTAGATTACGAAAATACTGGCTGAAAGGTGAGAAAGTCGGTACCTCAGAAGTAATAGCAATCCTCCCAGGATATCCTGACAATGTGAGAGCAAATGAAAGAAATGAATTCTGGGTAGCAATCCACTGTCGGCGCACCATTTACAGTTACATAAATGCCATATACCCACCACTTCGTCAATTCTTGCTGAAGCTTCCCGTCCCTGCAAAGCTCCAATACCTCATGCATATTGGTGGCCGGCTCCATGCAGTCGTTGTGAAGTACAGCCCCGAAGGAAAGCTTTTACAGATATTGGAAGATCGACAAGGTAAAGTCGTTAAAGCTGTCAGCGAGGTAGAGGAGAGGGAAGGGAAGCTTTGGATGGGGAGTGTTCTGATGTCTTTCATCTCAGTTTACCAACTAGAATGAGCTCAGGAGCTTTTGCTTTGCTTTCTTTCATACTTCCATTATCAATCACTTCTCATTTAGTTTGCCAGAAGACTAGTATTGCGCAAGACTCATTTTTACTTCTTTGTATGTAGCATCTATTTAAATAAGCATTATTATAAGCAAGTCTATCTGAGGAACATATATGTAACCCCTTATTTTATGAGAAATATTCTTAAGAGGAGGCTTTCTTAAATCAAGCCAAATCATTTTGCATAATTCTGAGATTTTAAAAATTAAAACGTTCTAATTGCATGCTGCTTCATCTCACTTCAATATATTTTGAGTTCACTCCTATAAGCAGCAAGTTATTGATTACTTTCGGGTATAAGACAGTGGCGGACCCAGGAGTTTTATCAAGCGGGTTCAAAAAAACAAACATTAGAGGTCATATGTGACTAGTTGGTTTTGAACTCATGACCATGTGGAAAATTTGAACCCTCTTTACCAACAAGCTAGGCATTTTACTTGTTTTAAGTGGGTTCAAAATTATATTTATACCTTTACTTGTCTGAAAACAACAAAAATATACCTATATATACAGTGTTATTTTTCGATGAAGCAGGTTCATATGAACCCACTTGACTCCACGTGGGTCCGCCCCATAAGTAATTGCACTTACTGAAACTTAAGGTGGATAAACTCGTTATTTGAAAACATACTTAATTAGTTGTAAATTATTTCTTTTTAGAAATGTTGGGTGATTATTAGTGCAATTGGCTTATGGAAAGAAGGAAATTTGTAACTGAGAAAATTCCCAAAATGGTATAGTTTTCATCCAAACTTCAGCATATGTATTGTGAAAAGTGAGCCTTCTTGAAATGTTGTGTTAGGCACACCATAAAATCACTCCGTTTAAAAAAACTAGTCCATTTCAAGAAGGCTCACTTTTCACAATACATATGTGGACCCATATGTGTAGATCCATATCTTATATATTTGGGTTCACAAAATTCTGGGACCACACAGTTGTGAGACCAAAAAAAGCCTCACACAACTAGCGTCAGCTGTGTGAGGCACAAAATAAAAATTTTTCAACGCATAATATGGGTGTCTAGGGAGGGAAGCGGTCCATAACTTAGGGAAAATGTCATTGTATAACCGTTTCAAAATAATAATCGAAAATATATATATATTTTTGTATATTTTTTGTATATATATACATTATGTATGTTATATACAAAAATTATAATATACTTTTTCGACTATTGAATGTTAATAGTTTCTGGCACGGGTTAAAAGTGGAAAAAAACCCTAACTTGTTTACCCTCTTGTTAGTTGAGGGTTTCAGATAATCAAGTCTATGCTACGCAGCATGTGTAATGGCCAAGAGCTAACCTTTTTGAATATATAATTCAAGTCGAAATTAGAGTTACAAAAAAATTTGTTTGATACAAAATTACTTTTATGTCCTTGACCTGTATCAATAAATATCAGTAAGAATAGAAATCGTATAGATTAGCTTGCATATTAGTTATCCAAAGTAAACATTGTGCTAAGTACCATTTTAGCCCTTGCAGCAGAGACTAGGCTCAGGTGTGGAAGCGACCAACACAAACAATCACTATAAATTTCCCAACTTAGGCAATCGAAGAACAAACATTCAATTACGCCAAAAAGAACAATGGCTGAAGAAGACTCATCATTCGTGAGGAGACACTGGGAAGGATATAAGGCATTCTGTGGAGAGAGATTCTCCTTCTTGGACAACTACTCACCCTTCATCCAGCGCGACAAGCCATTACCTTCTTGGTCTGAAACTGATGTCGACGAATTCATTGCTTCTGACCCTCTTCATGGACCCACTGTATGTATTCCGCCCCCCACTTATTTTCCCATTTTCCCTTTGTTTTTTTGCTGAATTTTTCATGTGCATCTACAGCTATTTGGGCGTTTTCTCTGTCTGGGTTTTCATTTGTTTGATCTATATGCTTCTTTATACTTTTTAGCTTTGTGTGTGTGTGTTTTGATTTTTGATTTGGGTTATACTTGGTTGGTTTGTTTGATTGGTAGATTGTATGTCCCACATTTTTTATTAGTAAAGGAACAAAGTCCTACATTGTTAGCTAATAAGAAAATGAAGTTACATATAAGGTGTAGGGATGTTCTTAATGCTAACCTTTTGGGAAAATCCGTAGGCATGACTCACAACAGCACACCATTTTAAGAGTATGTTTAGGCTGACTTAGCCCAATATTTTAATAGTATCTTTGGACTGGCTTATCCCAACAGATTTTGGATATGAATCTATACTTTGTGCACAATTCTTGGGTATATGGCAATATAATTCTCTATTTTTGTCGATCTACTATTGTTATTAATATCTTTTTTTGGGTAGAGGGGGTAAGTTTTGGAGAAAATGGAGTTCTGTAGTCATTGATCCTTCGAACTATTTGTCTGTTTAGCTAAATTTTAGGAGAGAAACTGAGGGCTGTAATTTCATCTGGGAAAAAGTGAAAAACGTGTTTGGATGCTGTCTTGCATGGGTGCCTCCATTGCTTTTAGCTGCTTCTTTGGGTGCTTAGTTATTGGATTCTGCGTGGTTGGGTCTTTGGTGTTTACTTGGATTTTCTCTTAAATACTTCAGTAGCAGAAGTATTTCTTTTCCATTCTCTGGAATTGTTTTGTCCATTATGCGGAAATTTGTACTTAGTGTGTTGCGTATTTCCTGAATATTTAAAATGCATTTTTCCTATGATTAAGTAATGTTTTCATGACTGTTCTAGAATCGAGTAGTTTCCTGGAGATTAACTTGGCTCTGCTGCAATCTCAATCTCTGAAAATTCACTATGCAAACTTTGTTTTCTTTTGCTTTATCAAAACTAGTGTTAGAACCCGCGCGATGCACGGATAATTTGACAAAATATTAATCTTATAAAATTATGATCCTAATATATCATATTACTTTTATAAATCTTAGTTGTTATTTTATTATTTAATATAGTGTGTAGAAATATAATACAATCTATACAAAATCAAAGGATACACATCATATAGTATAAAGAGATAAGCCTTTTATTTTATTTTTTTTATAAAAAAGCTACCAATATTTTTAATAATTTTTAATTTATGTTATATATATAGTATACTTATCTTATGATAATATCCTAACAATATCTTTATATTTTTATATTTTTTATTATGAAATTATGAGTTCTATTTATTAACTAAAATTTCCTACATGAGAAATTTAATTAGTATATATATTTTTACGCTATTGCTTGAATTTTTTTTAAAGTATTCTTCCGGCGACGAGCCAATGTTTCCGATCACAATCGCAATCCTTGCTATCATGCGCCGAGAGCAACGGTTAATGTGCGCCGTTTTACTTCGGTTTTTCGCTATTGGGTCAGAACACAAAAACATAATTCATATGGTCATGCTATATGACACAAGCAACTCGGCGATTACAGTACTCTGAAGCAAGTGGATTGGAGAAGCCAACTCCTACAACAACTGACATTGTACGAGGGAATCGCAACTCACAAATGGGTAAACCCTTATCCTTTGTTCCTCCAATTGATAGAGATGGTAAGAGAACTGTTAAATTGAGCGAGGAGGATCTACAATCTCAGGCAGATTATTGGAAAACCTCTCTAATTGGGTACATAATAGGGGAAAAACCTTATGAAAAAGCTATGGAGAATTTTGTTATGAATGTGTGGGATTTTGTTACTATACCTCAGATTCTGATTCATTCTGAGAGATATTGCATTTTCAAATTTCACACCATAGCTGATAGGGATCAAGTTCTTTAGTCAAGACCATACACATACAGGAACAAACCAATGGTGCTAAGGCTATGGGAAATTGATTTCTCATTCAACAGAGATATTCTGAGCACAGTACCAGTTTGGGTGAGATTTCCTGGGTTACTGGTAGGTTATTGGTCGACTGAGGCTCTTAAAATGGCCAGTGTGGTGGGCAAACCCCTATACACTGATAAATTCACTGCTCATTATGAGAAGATATCCTATCCTAGGGTTCTTGTGGAGGTAGATGCAGCATATCCTCTTCCAGACCAGATAGAAATAGAATTACCTTTTGGCCAAATGGTGCAGACTATTGAATATGATTGGAAACCTGTATTTTGTAATGGTTGTCTGAAATTTTGTCATGATTCTAGTGACGGTTGGCACAACACAAAGAAGACAGAGGAAAAGAGCAAAGATGCAAACTAAGACTGTCAAGCAAGCATGGCTGGTGAAGAAGCCAGAAGTGAGTGCTGAAACAGAACCAGAACCACAGAGGGAAGTAGTCCTACAAGCAGACCCTACCCATGAGATTGAATGCATTGAGATGGGTAGAGTGAGTATAGAGCCTGTACAGCAGAATGTTTCTATGCCATGTCAGACAAAAGATGGGATTAACATACAGGATAACATATGTTGCAATCTTGTGAATGAAGATTGCAATGATAAAGGGAAGGAAACTGCTGAGATAAAGGATGTTGGGAGAAAAGGACAACAGGAGGACCCAGGTCCATCATGCCCTTTAATTTCCAACTCACTATGATCATTGTTACTTGGAACATTAGGGGCCTAAATTAGGCCCATAAACAGAAAGAGGTCAAAACCTTTCTGGCTAAAAATAAGGTAGATGTAATGGGGTGTATTGAAACCAGAGTTAAAGAGCATAAGGCTAAGAAAATACAAAAAAAGAATGCTCAGGGGTGGAATGTTTACTGCAATTATCCTTATGCGATACTATGGAGAGCACATATACAACTACAGATTATCCACACTATAGATCAATTCATCCATTGCTTAGTGGAGGATACCAGCACTCAAATTACAACACATCTCAGTATCATTTATGCTCGGAATGATGGCCAACAAAGGGAGAATCTATGGAGGGACCTTAAACAGCTAAATATGCAGGCTCAAGAGACATGGCTACTTAGTGGAGATTTTAACAATGTGCTATCCTCTGAGGATAGAATAGGGTCCCCTGTAACTACTACTGAAACACAAGGATTCAAAGATGTGATTGATTCTCTACAGCTTACCCCTCGTAGAGCTAAAGGATGACATTACACTTTGACAAACAAACAAGGGACTGACTTAAGAATATATAGCAAGATAGATTAGGCTTTGGGAAACTACCAGTGGATACAACAATATGGGCATGTAGAAGCAGATTTTTTTAATCCATCAAGTCTCTAATCATTCCCCTATCCTAATCAAATGTGGTCGACAGAAGTTATTACATCCTAAACCATTTAGACTATACACAAATGTCATGGAGCTTCCACAATTCCAGAATATTATTAAGCATGCTTCGAGTCAGAATTATGATGGCACACCTGTGCAACAAATCTGGTGCAAGCTGAAGGCTATGAAGACACAACTGAGAGACTCTAATGCCTATATGGCCTCATACAAACAAAAACTTGAGCAGGCAAGAGAAAAATTGGATATTATTCAGAACCAAATTCAGCAGGATCCTTTGGCACAAAACCTATTTGATTTAGAGAAAGACACACTAGCTGACATTGAGAAATGGAGCAATATTGAGGAACAAGTGATGAGACAGAAGTCCAAGGCTTGCCGGATTGAATGTGGTGATGCCAATACAAAGTATTTCATGCTCAATGGAAGATTAGATCCAGTCAGAATAGTATAACATCCATATACACTGATACAGGAATAAAGATAACAGATCCCAAATTGGTTGAGCAACAATTCATCAGATTGTTTCAATCCTTGATGGGAGATTGTGCTACTGAAATGCCTTGTGTAAATACAGCTATAATCAAGAAAGGACCATGCTTAACTATATCACAACAAAGAGATTTAATCCAGGATGTTACAAATGAGGAGATCACTGCTGCAGTATGGGAGATGCCTAAAGACAAAGCACCAAGGTTGATGGTTTTCCTGTGGAATTCTTTACTAGGAGCTGGGATATAGTGAAGGAGGACATCTTTGCAACTGTGAAGAACTTCTTTTCTACCAATAACCTGCCTGGAATGATTAACACTATAGCCATCACATTAGTACCTAAAGTTCCAGCACCTTCAACAGTCAAAGACTATAGGCCTATTGCATGTTATACCAAATTGTACAAGATTATATCCAAAGTCATTACAAAAAGAATCAAATATGTTCTTGATGGATTGATTGGTCACTCTCAATCAACATTAATTGAAGGGAGGTGTATTACTGATAATATACTACTAAGTCATGAACTGTTTAAAGGATACTCCAGAAAAGGTATCTCTCCTAGATGTGTGCTGAAGGTGGATCTGAGGAAAGCCTATGATACTTTGGAATGGGGTTTCCTCAGAAGAATGCTTATTGACTTTGGTTTACAGTTTGTGCAATGGATAATGACATGTGTTATTACAGTGTCATATTTCTTGGTACTAAATGGAGGACTGACCAAGCCTTTCAAAGGAAAAAAAGGGGATTAGACAAGAAGACCTAATGTCTCCATACTTATTTGTTATTGCAATGGAGTGTCTGGGAAGAGAACTGGGACAATTGCATAAGAATGGAAATTTCAACTTTCATCCTAGGTGTAAGAAGTTAAACACTACACATATATGTTTTGCTGATGACCTCTTGATGTATTGCAGAGCTGATTTTGAGTCTATCAAGATCCTAAATGCTGCCTTCCACAGGTTCTCAGTTGTTTCTGGCTTGCTGGCAAATGTAGACAAAAATGCTATATACATGGCTGGAATCTCTCAAATTGAAAAACAGGAAATCCTTGCAACATTGGGGTTCACTGAAGGAAAGCTTCCTTTCAAATACTTGGGGATCCCTTTAGATTCCAAGAAGCCAGCAGTCCATCAATATTTACCTCTTATTGAGAAGATAACTGCAAGGGTCACATGCCAGTCAGCAAAACTTCTATCTTATGCTGGTAGATGTCAATTGATCAAGGCTGTTATCTTTGGCATTCAAACCTATTGGGCGAAGATTTTTGTTCTTCCAAAGAAGGTGATGAAAGCAATTGACGCAATATGCATAACTTTCCTATGGACTGGTACTGCTACTATCTCAAAAAAAGCACCGGTGGCTTGGGAAAAGGTGTGCAGGCCAACAGCGGGTGGAGGACACAATATACTAGACATAAAACTGTGGAACAAAGCAGCAATTATAAAACATCTATGGGATATAACAAGGAAGAAGGACTGCTTATGGATAATGTGGGTGCATAGTTTCTATATAAAGAAAAGGAACCTGGAAACAATGGCCACACCTAAGGCTGGTTCTTGGGTGGTGAGGAAGATACTAGAAAGCAGAAGTTTGATTATGGAGCATCAACAACTCCAAGGAAACATTCATAACAGACTACAGACAATGTGCATTGATACAAAGTTCCAGATTAAGCAGACGTACTTTGAACTGATACCAGTATACCCCAGAGCTGAATAGAAAAGCTTGATGTTGCACACAAATATACATCTAAGATATAGATTCAACATATGGCTTGCAGCACAATAAAGGCTAGCTACAGTGAAAAGACTTCTGAAGATTGGTATTCAAGTCCCTGCAGCCTGTGTATTGTGTGGATATAGCCTGGAATCCTTTAGCCACTTGTTCTTTGAATGCACCATCACAAAGCAACTGTGGTCCAGGCTATGTTCATGGCTGGGATATAAGAGAAGCATTGGAGATTGGTAAACAGAGTTGGAATGGGTAGGCAAGAAAGCCAAGAGCAGAAGTGGAACAAATGCTATTACTAGCTGTGTGTTTGCCATGACTGTTGCACTGATTTGGAGGGATAGGAACAGAATCAGATTTGACCAAGCTAAGTTTGATGATCTCTAAATCTGCAGAGAGATAGTATTACACATACATACTAGAGGGAAGAACATAGTCAAGTGGAAAGAAGCATTGCAGCAGCTGGATTGGATTCCATAAATTGAATTAGACGTAGAAATCCTTGTTGTAGTTGGTTTTAAACATGTGTCTGTATTGAAGAATAGTGTAGGATAGATAGACACAAATTTGTTAGTAACAGATTGTGATGTATATTTGGGAGCAGTCTGTCAAAGCTACTCCTCGGACTAAACTGTACATAATTTTGAGTATCAATAGAATAGTATAACTTTAACTCAAAAAAAATTATGTTTTTGCCTTTAGTTTTATCTTATCCATATAGCATGACCATATGAATTATTGTTCAAAAACTTTCTCATCTTAAAAAATAAATTAGTCTTATTATTTTATATATCTCTACATTAAAGTTATATATTTATATTTTTTTCCTTTTTTATAACAGTATCCTAAAAAAATATTGTTCTATTTTAAATTCAAATTCAAAAGAGTAACTAATTATTAACTAACCTAACTAAGTTTGTCCTAAAATTTGGCACTTGTTAAATTTTTGTTGTGACACTTGACATTATTATATTGATTTGCTTCTTCTATTCTGTATAGAAGATAATTAATAAAATAGAAGGCTAATTACCATTCGAAGAAAGATGTCTCTTCTGCTCTATCAAAATAATTAATTAAATAGAAGAAAGGATGTTTCTTGATATCTGTTACCGTATTTCTGAGGATTCCCTCAAGTTTTATTTATACCCTGCCTCATGCTGAAGGAAGAATATTTTCATCCACAACATCAGCTTATGTGCCTCATTTTTGTTCCTTCCGCTCAATGGTTTCTGTTCATAGTTAATGGCGCATTGTCTTCGTGCTGCCATCGACTTTTTCCGCTAAATTCTAAAAGGATAATTTAACTATTCTGTTCTCTATCTTTATTTGGGCATAGTGAATTATTTGTTTGTCTCTCTGTTTGTCTCCTGACTGCACGCAAGGGCATGCATAATTGCTTACATCAAACGCTAAGAAGTTGCATAGGTGCTTTGTTTTCCTTTCAGTTTCCCCTGGAACCATAATAAATGATCCCCTAATTTTTCCTTTTTGTGCTGTGGAGCTGATGAGTTTTTAAATACTTTTTTCCAGCTGAAGACTGCTAGGGAAGCAGCAAAATTTGGTGCTGTAGGAGCCCTAATTGGAGCTGTTTCAACTGCAGGCGTTGCTTGGAAGTACTCAAGGAGTCTGCATGGTATGTTAGGTTTTTGACGATGGTCCTCTCCTTCCACTCCTCTCCTCCCCTCCCCAAGAAAAAAAGGGTACTGCTGCGCTTTTCCAATTTACACCTTGAGAACACTACAGCTGAATACACTGTTCAAACATCCACTTACTTTGTTAGCTGATTTTGTCTCATCTATTTCCATGCTTGGATGATTTGGACTTTGGAAGATTGGACGTCCCTTATTGTTTATATACACATATTTGTGCCACAGGATCAGAAATGAAATTATATCAGCAGACCTTATATTGACTGATTGTTAAATACTCCCTCTGGACATCAAATCTTTGGAAAGTCAGATATCCAATTGTTATCAGACCTACTCCAAACTGGCCTTAATGATCAATAGTTGCACCTCCTTTCAGATGTGTATTTGTATAAATTATCTTACATATTCATTTTCACGCTTCTTTTTCTTAATCTGAAATAGAAAATCCTCCTTGCTTATAAGAGACATGAAATTATCTCCTGTTACAAACAAGAATTATTCACTCTTTCTCGTTCATAGAATTATAAGTGCACAGAAGGTTCATCCTTTGTCTAATGGCAAAATACATAAGTTGGCACCCGAACAATGGACCAAATCCCTGTTACACACTTTCTGTGGACACAAATAATATTACACACTTAACCTTTTAAAAGTGTGTCTAATACACACCGCTTTTGACCAGGACTCAGCATGTGTAAAACACCATGATAGAAGTGTGTCTACTAATAAAAATGCTGTCTAATTATTTATGTTATGCCATGTGTCTGCAATCTCCTCATCTTCCTCACCCTTCCTCTATCCCTCTCTTCCGCCAGCCAACACTTCCCCCCACCAAATCCCTTCTTTTTCTTTTTCTTTCTGATTTTCTCTTAAATATACATATTTTGCATTAATCTCAAGCTTCCAATCTATTTTGAAGAGGAGGCTGAATTTTTTATTCTGAAAGTTGGTGGTGGCGATGGCAGCCATGGAAATGACAAACAAAATTTTGGAAGAGAGCTATAAATGAAAATAGTCCGTTTATGTCTTTGTTGATGTAGATAAGCTTCAATAGATATGGTACCCAAGCAGTTGTAATTTTCGATCTACCTTTGCCATTGTTGCATTTTTTTTAACAATGGCCTTGTTGTGGTGATGATACGGTGGTGTGAGCCATGGCTTATTGGCTTTTGATGCTTTTATTTCTTTCTGGGATTAAATCACTTGGGCTCCTAATTTTTGGGTTGAATTGTGTGTTCTAATTTTTTGGGTGGTCCGTGGAGAAGGAGATGGAGGTGGAAGAGATGGGATTGGAGAAGATGAGGGTACATGTGTAATTTTATATTTTTTGTTTTATTTATTTATGTTAATGACACGTGTCACGACCTTATTGGTGCGTGACATTACCCATATTTAGGTAAAGTGGTCAAGAAAAAAGTGGGGTGTATTAGACACACTTTTAAAAGGTTGAGTGTGTAATATTATTTGTGTCCACAGAAAGTGTGTAACAGGAATTTGGTCCATTGTTCGGGTGCCAACTTATGTATTTTGCCTTGTCTAATTAGTCATTTGGTGCTTATGGTCATACAGCTAAACTAAGTATGAAGTGCTTCAGTATTGGCTGACCTCCCATTTTCCCTTTTCAGCAGTCAATTGGGTCTTTGGTTAGAGCGGAACTCCTTAAAATGCTTCACTCTTGCATTGTCTTGTATAGTCCGGCTCAGTAAGCTTATAAAATTTACGTTCTGGACCAAAGCCTTGTTCAGCTACATCCTTGTTCAGAGTAAAAAACCTAATTCAATGGTATCTCAATTAATCATGTATGAAGATGTCTGTCCTGTTATGTTTCCCCAATCTATTTTGAGCATGCAAAGAGAAAGGGATATAGCATGTTAAATTTGTGCTTAGAACCAAAACTTTGGCAGGAGCCTTGAAGCATTGAGGTAGTTGATTTGGTTGCTTAATGTCATTGCATTTGTTAGGTACTGCATTGTCTTTTGGAGCCGCTGCTGTTTTTGGCTGGACATTTGGACAGGAAGTCGCGAACCACTGGCTGCAGCTATACAGGCTCGATACCATGGCTTCACAGGTTAAGTTCATGGAATGGTGGCAGAACAAGGTTGAAGGACAATCTTAACTTTGGCTAACTTTAGAAGACTGAAGACACTCAAGTTGGCTTTGCTGTTAATGCGAATGAACATTTGTAATGTGCAATAAAAATCTGTGGCAGTGTTCAAATGGTGTCCTGCCGACTTGGAATTTTGTTACCAGGGTAGTTTTTGACCATGAGCTTGGCTGTTTGTTTTACCTACCGAGTGGCTATGATAGGAATGCAATTTCTGGCAGTTTTCTTTAATAAAGTTAAAAGGTGGGGAATCACCAGTTCTTTAATAAGTTTGCAGTTTGGCGTTGTTTTAGAAAATAGTTGATGAGGAAATTTTTTATGGTGAATAGTGGAATTTGAATTTTTACTGATTGTGTAATGTGGTTCACTTGAGATAATCTTGATATTCAACCCTCCATGCTTTTGTGGGAGAAATTCAAAAATAGTCAGATTTACAATTGGTCGTTTAAAAATAGCCCAGTTTCAAAAGTAATCGAAATTTAGCTACTTTTCATGTAAAGATAAATCTCAGTGAAAACACTGTTCAAAACCCGGAAAATATGTCAGTATATTATACTGGAGTTCCAGCATAAGTATGCTTGAACTCTAGCATATTATACTGGAGTTCCAGGATAAGTATGCTAGAGTTCCAGCATAAGTACACTAGAACTCCAGCATAATATACTGGAGTTTCAGCAAGTATAATTGTCTAGTATATTATACTGGAGTCAGCAAAGTATATCGGTCCAACATAATATGCTGGAGTTCATACACAGGTGCACCGAACTCCAGTATATTATACTGGGCCGGTCTCTGTTGCAACAAAATAGTGGCTATTTTTCATTGACTTCGTAAATGCTGGCTATTTTTGAATGACCAGTCCGAAAACTGGCTATACTGTGCTATTTTTACTGCTTTTGTAAATGATTCCATTAATAAGATCAATGGTATTGCCAGATAGATGGTGTGATTTTCGGGATTAGGTTGATTTTAAGCCTTGCTACTTCCGTCTTTTTACATACGAACTAAAAGCATGGTTAAAAATATAATTTGAGAGAAGGTTGGTTTGTTGATGATATATTAATTAAAGTGAATATACGGATGGAATTTAATATGTAGTATTTGCAAACATAAGTATTCGGTTGTAACACGAGGACCATTTAGGATGTAAATAAAGTACTAACTGGAAATATTCTTTATCGTCAAAGTAATAACTATTTATAGTCGTTAAATTCTGGAAAATTATAGAAGAATGAGATGGGTTCAATATAATGCACTAGGAATGTAAGTTCGTTATGCTTCAAAACTTGCCTACCTAGCTACATTAAGTTGTGGTTCTGTTTTGTGGCCGAAGTTGTAGATATTTTTTTGTATGAGGAATAGGGTGGAGAAGGTTGAAATCCAATTGGAGTAAAATGAGTTGACGAGGAAAATGTTTTTCAAAATATTTAAGCCAACCAAACATAGGAAAATTGGAAAATATTTTTCTTCCTACCAAACACACCCTTAGTTGATGTTTCTTTGTGATTTCTTAATATTGACGTCATGTTATAGAAAAAGTAGCAAACAACTAAAAATCCGACGGTTTGGCCGAGTGGTCTAAGGCGCCAGATTTAGGCTCTGGTCCGAAAGGGCGTGGGTTCAAATCCCGCAGCCGTCAATTTGTCTTTTTCCTCCGGTTTGCAAGAACAACAACAACGACCAGTCCTTTCAAAGAAAAAGAAAATTACGAATTTTATACACACTACAAAATTTTATTCGTGGGACTACGAGTTTTTCGCGCATAAAATTTTATACAAACTTTTTCTACCATTCGTAATTTTCTTTTTCTTTAATATTAATTTATATAGTTTTCTTTTTAAAAGAAATTTATTTAAAATAATATAAAAGTACTATGGATCAGTTCTCTTATAATTTAAAATATTTACTAATATTATAGTTAAAAACAGTCTGTTCATACTTCACTCCTTATATGGATAGAGTAATATTTAGAAATTGCAGCAAAACAAAAAAATACTATGTGATTTATTTGATGTGAACAGAATTTTTTAGTGCTAGTGCTGATCGGAGGAAGCAGCTATCCGAGGTGGGTGTAAACTGATCCGAACACTGTAAAAAAAAGACGAAAAAGAAGATAGATGTAGTATATGTTTATTTCTTATAGTAAGATTATTCTTTTCATTTTCCTATTTCATTAATTTGTAAGAAAACCTTCCCCTTCTTTTTTATTACATTTCAAACTTGGGGTTTTCGTCGGTCAATACGATACAGATAGATATTTCGGTTCGGTATTTTCTATATTCGATTTCTTAAAATATTATACCAATATCGTACCTAATTTAAATCGATGTGGTTCGATTTTTCTCCTTTTGATTTTGATTTATTAAGTTAGGTAACTTTTATTTGTTCAGTTTGAATACTAACTAGTGCATAGAGCCATAGATTGTTATATTCTCAATAAAGTACTAAAAACTACAAAAATAAAAATGTTTGTTGACAAAATTTTTATACTTGTTTAGAGTTAACTACTGAACTTAGAGAATAAAGGAAAATAAAATTTTAAATTTTTTACACTTTTATATATATGGGTTTTGATTGTATACACATTTGATTTACCTAAATTACCCCTACCAATCTTTGTTACCTTACTAATAGCTTAGGCTATTTTGTCTTTTTATTTAAAACCCACAATCATCATGGGCCTCTCTCTTCCTTCGCTGCCAGCACCATGAATCAGATTCAAGAATTTCAAGACATTCCAATTCTTTGATTTCTCACAAATCTAAGCTCTCGAACACCATGAATGAAGAATACTCTTCAAAATTTTGAGTTGATCTTGGAAAGATAAGGAACCCATTTATCATAACCCAAAAGTTACTTGTTGAAGATTAAATTTAAGAAAAGGGGAAAAAGGGCTTATCTTTAAAACATATCCTCTGTGAGGGTTAAGCTCCATGAACGAAGCTCCTTTAAAATTTAATTTTTAAGGACTCCAAATTAAGTTGTAGAAACGGGAGAGAAAGAGCTTAATAGTAAATCAAAAAAGAAGCAAGAATGTTTCTTGATTCACGAAAATATGCGTAAGAACACAGTCTTCGATTCATTGAAAGCTTCGGCAACTTCGATTAATCGTCACTTTAAAAAGAAACTTTATTTCATTTCTCATATTTTTGAGATAACCCAAATAGAGAGAAGAAGAGATTAATACACATAAAATTAGCCAAAGCTATTTTGAAGCTTTTGCTATCTTACTGAACTGGAAGCATCAGTGCTTTACAGGTGGGAGAGAAGAAGATATTAACACACGGAGAGAGCGTGAGAGACGATAGATGGACAACAGAGGAACAAGAGAGGCAGGCGTGTTCAAAACCGAACCGAAACCGAAACTTAATGGCTTATTGGTGTTGGTTTATCGGACGGAGAATAAATTAAATTTTTTTTATTAACGGCTTATCGNTATATATATATATATATATATATATATATATATATATATATATATATATATATATATATTCTGCCAAATTTAATCTCTTTGATGATCCTAGATTAAAGTCTAGAACTATGAACTAACCATCACAAATCATTGGTGACATTCAGAATCCCCATACTTGGTATGACTTCTGGTGTATTTGCTTATTTCCTATTAAGTCTAACTGGATTTTGTGTTAAAATGCACAACAATGAAAATGTATATTAGTGCTAACTTCTTAAGGGGTCGTTTGGTTGGAATACGATTTATATCGGTATAAGTTATGCCGATATAAGTTATATTGGGATAAGTTATGCTGTGATTAGTTACGGAAGCCAAATGTATATAGTGTGAATGAGTCACAACTACTATACCAAAAATTATGGCAGTCACTACATAATAAATAAGACAATAAAGCAACAATAAAAGGAACACCAGAATTTACGAGGTTCGACCAATTTTGTCTACTTCCTCGAACACAACCAATATTTTATTCCACTCCAAAAATACAAGTGAAATAATACTAAAGAGAGAAGATACAAATGTCTTAAGAAGATAAGAAGACAAATGAGAGGTGTATTTAAATTCTAAACATTAGGCCTCCTTTTATAGGGAAAAATTCCCAAACCCAAATTGTCACCCACCGATGTGGGACTTTTGACAATCAACAAATCTCCACCTTGGCAAAATTCCACATCT